AGAGTGCGTGTCACAACTCTCGATCCATGTATGTTTGCTTTACTTTTGTTATGCAGACCAAGTTATGGATTGTTGGAGCCTTTTAGTTTTAATTAATAATATGTTTCCTGCTTTCTCATCTCGAAGACGATACTTGACTGATCATTTTCCCGATTTTTGTTGTTTGGGTATAATAGCATAATCGAGATATATATTATTTGAAGAGCAACTCATCCATGAGACTGCATTTTCCCTGCTTTCTTTGTAACCAAATTTGAACTATCTATTTGTTCACCCATGAGACTGCGCATCTTCTGAGATTATCGTTTTCGGCTTGCGTTGCAGGGTATTTGACATGAGAAACTATGTAATGATGATTATTTCTCATCAATGGTACGAATGTCCTGCAAATTAAATGATAATGATAGGCATCGACTGTCATCCTCGTGCTGAAAATTCTTATCGAAATAGGAACAAAAACGCGATATATCGGTTGTGTAATTGGAAAGTTGGTTGTAAATCCCTTTATGAAGTTGTGACGAATGAAATTTTATGAAATGATTGTGTTTTTAGTGCTGAATTAAATCTTAAAGCAGTGGTGGGGATGTTTTACTGGATCAGTCTTTTCTGCCACATCGTGTATGATAGGAATCGAATTTCCTTTGCTACTGGTAATCAGAAGGAAATTGTTCGAGATCTCCTAAACTTTAGATATTAAATTGAAATTAAAATTAAAATATWGACTCAGTATAATCATGAAATTTAATCTCTCTGTTAGTTATTAAACTAGTAATAACTATGGCATTCTAGACATAGTCTCAAACGACGAGCATCTAATTCTCTATCTAAAAAAATGAGTGCTTACCACTTATTTTCACTCCGTTTGCCGACCCTTTTGGGGCATTAATTATTCATTGTGCAAGAATATTTCTCCCCTAAATTCCCCCTTCCAAACAACCTACAATCCTAAGATAATATTAATTAAGTTCTATTCCTAAACATTGCTTATGACTTTATGTTATAAAAATGATAAAATTCTCCAATATTTTCTTATTGCAGCCGTCAAAGTCCCCATTAATTAAGCATAGGTTTTGTTGGAACATGTGTATGTATGCATGTATTGAAAGATATGGACCAGGTTGTCAGATTTTATGCTCCTTAATTTAAATTTGAAAAAAAAAAAAAACTTTATGTTGTTTAAAACTAGAATACGTGTTCTTCAGCGCCGGCCGACGAATCTCTGTATGGTTTCTTTATAAGAATTTGTTTCTAGATTCACAGGGCAGACATAGATTCCACCAATATTATTATTATTATTATTATTATTATTATTATTATTATTATTTAAGAGAAACGTCGGAACCATTTTTTCTTTTCTTTTTCCTCTCATTTTTTGCATTATTATTATTATTATTATTATTATTATTATTATTATTGGTAGTATGAATAAGTATTTATTATTATTGGTATTTGACTCATCAAGCCGACGCGATTTATTTCATTAAGGGCATTCATGAGTTGTGTTCTTTCACTTTTTCTATTTTCAAATTTAAAATATGAATTTATTCAAATGATGCAAATTAATGTGTTGTTATACACTAAAATTCTTTAATTTTTGAAGTTCATGATTTCTCTATCTCTCAATTATATTTTTGTCCAAGTTTAGTTTGATTTTAGAAAGTTGTGCTTTTTCACTTTAATGGAACAATTGTGGTATTCTATAGAAAAATAAATAAATATGACGTATATTAGAACTTAGAAGAATAAAATTGTTAGGAATATAACATGTTTTTGTTGTATTTGCTATATGTAATTTCACTTTTAGCTCAAATTTATCCAGCGGATATAAACAACAAAGATTAAATAACCCAATCCAAAATTTAAAAATTAAATTAATTTTTTATTATTATTACTAAATAGATAACAATAACCAAATTTATAATTTAACCTTATACTATCCAACAACCCGAATGTGCCATTCAATTCAATTATTTTTAAAGCCACAGTGACGTGATCAAACTTGATAATGTTAGGTTTACTTTGCTGTCAAATTAATTATTTGATTTATATAAGTTAACAAAAAAGATTTGTGTTTAAATTGCAAATGCCATCATGATTACTTGGTTGTTATGATATATTATGTGATTGATCACCTAATTTGAGTTTGGTTCTTGATTAATTTTAAAGCCAGTCTTCAAATTGGGTCACGAGTTAATTGATCATTTCTCTAATTCAACTGATTTATGCTGCTTAACTAATCCACCCTGACCATATAGCTACCATTTTGTTACTTTATTGTATAAATCCAACCAATCTTTGTTTTTACGAAATTAATTAATTGATGTGATATAATGTTATAAGATATGTACAGATCAATTTTTATTTCCTTGAGTTATTTACTTATTTTATGAAAAGGAACGTTGGCTTGTATTCATTTCCATGGTTGATTAAACTTCATTTGGATAATTTCATTACTAAAAACATAGAAAGATTGGGTTTTTAGTTTATTTACTTAAAATTATTTGAAAATCCAGGTATTTTAAATATATATCTGTCGAGTCGAGTTCGGTTGAAAGCAGAGAGACCGTGTATCTGTTATAAGGAAGGAGTCCAACATTGATAGGGGAGCCATTGTTGGAGTTAAGTTGAACTCTGTTCTTGGGCCATTGTCTCTTCATCCTCAGCGCGAAGCTCGGACACACGCATCTCAACATAAGAGTTTTGCGCTGATCTCAACAGGAGAGGACACTTGGTTTTACCCCCACACATGAAATCTCCATAAACCACAAAAAGAAAGTATTAAACTTTCAACAAGTGAAGTACAGTGGAGCAATATATTGACAAAAAAATTAATCCAAAAAACAAAAGTGAAAGTGTAGTTGCTGTAGATAAAAGCCATTTTGGACATAGATTTTATTACACGCCGCACTGTTTGATCCAACAGGCAAGAACTAAAGGATTAAAGATAAAGGAACAGAACACACATTTTTTTTTTAACAAAAAAAGGAATTATATTTGGACAAAGATTATTAAAGATATACATCTAAAAATGTGTAGAAAGGTGACATAAACAGTGAGTCAAGGCAGAAAAATTAATGGAATTGATAAATGTACAAATTTCATTAAGCTCAATGTCCTCACCCATCTGTTCTCTCAACTGCCTCTGCACATGGAGGGGTCTCTCACTTTGCAGCCCCTTCTCATTTTTTTTTATTTAAATCACTGCCCCCTCTACTTTTATATATTTAATTTTCAGACTCATCATCCATATTCTATGTATTTTCTTACATGTATATATATTTTTTTTTCTTTTAAAGCAAACATATTCTAAATTACTGTTTTGAGGACTTTTCTTGGACCCATTTGTCATTGCATCAGCTTACAAGACACCATACATATCCTCTTTAAAACTGCATAAAATAATGCATTTTTGTTAAGAGTTTTAAGTAGTACAATTTAGTTTGGTAATCTAAATTTTTGGTTCAGTTACAATATTAGTCCTTTAGCTTTATCAAGGTGCCTCCCGTATTAAATTCCACTTTAAAGAAGTTTCTTATTATAGATTCGAGAACTTTTAAGTTTGTGTCTAATTGGGTTATGTATCGTTAACTCCATTAGTTTATCACATGTTGTGTCTGTATGATTCAATGAATACATGATGAATTGATTTTAAACGGAAGGAACTAAATGAAGTTAGCATAGAGACTTATTTTTAGATATAAAATTGAAAATTAAAAAACTTATTAGAAATTTTTTAAAATTCAAGGACATAATAGACCGGAATCAAAAAGATAAAATATCAAACTTATAATTAGCGTATAATATGTATCCATGACTAAGGAGGTGACATTGATTCTCTCCAATTTTTTAGAAATGTCTAGTCATATGTGTTATTAGGTTCTCCTATAACTATTAATATATGATTTTTTTAAATTCCTCTCTTATATTTAAGATTTTGAGTTTAATCATATAAGCATTGTATCTTCTAATAGATTATATATGTCTTGGATCAGTTCAACTATATTAAAAGACTTTTATATCTAATATTTAAATTTGAAAGATATGTGGATAAATTTCATTAAACAATTATTTGATAATAAATATATTTGGGTGGTCCATACAAGAATTAATTTGTCAGTCTCTAATTGGTCCAATCATGAACATGTGGGACCCAATCTTGGGAGATGCATCAAGCAAAATCCCAAAGAAAACTTTTTTGGGATCTTCTTTTCCCTTGTAAATCATTACCATTTTAGTGGAGAGAAGAAAAGCCAAAGAAAAATTTCCTAAACTCTCACTAAAATTTTATAGGTGAAAGAAAATATGGGCAATGCCACCCACCCATCCATCCATCAAAATTCAACAGCCTTTAAACTCTTCCTTGTGGAAACACCAATACTTTTATGTCATTTTTTTCCCCTCTTCTTTCTCTTAGTACAATTTTTGGTCCAAAACATACCATTTTGAAACCCAACATCATACCTTTTCAACATCGTTTAAAAAAAATGGCATGTGTCGTTGCACGTCATTGCTTTATAACACTCTTCCGCTCGTACTACGCAATGCAAGTTTTATTAACCATACCGAAACGTAAGATTCAATTTAATTTAATAAGAGAGATTTCATATTTCATTATTCTGCGGCAAATCTCTTGTTATCTTCCTTTCTCTTTGCTTGGATTTGATATTCTAACAAGAAAAAACAAAGATGACATTTATTAATGTTATTTGATTGAGCGATGTGACATAAACTTATATACATGTTTTCATCTCAACACATTGAATATGTTTTTTCTTCTTGAATKGAATTAATTATGAATATTAGCTTTAAAGTTCATATGTAATATTATCAATATTCATGAGGTTGCATTTCAAAATTAGTTGTTGTTTTAGAAGAGTAGCTCAAATATACTATAAACCTTTGTGTCATGTCTCTTATCATTTCAATGTGAGATCCTTAACAATGATCAAAAGATCGAAACTTGACAWCCAAGTTTTTATAAACTAAAATAATCATGAAAATGACAAAGAAAATTAAACCATGTTGCATGGGAATTGGAATTTACACTCAAATAACTTATAGATAATTAAATCTTAGACTAGGGTTTAAGTAACCTTAAACAGAGAGAAAAAGAGAATTTGAGTTTTACAAAGAGTATAATGATAAGCTCAACCTTGGTAATGAAGAAGCATGGAAAAAGGAAACAAGCAAAGGCCTCTTTGCTTTAGGTCTCCACCAGCAGCTGTACAAACACCTTTTTCTCCCTCTGAGTAATCGCTCCCCTAAAAAAAACTCAAAAGTTTTAAAATTTAAATTCCTCAAAATCACGAAAAAGAAAAATCAGTATAGAATTATTCAGTAACATTGTTCCAGATGTCACTCGAGAAAGATAAATTACCATGGAGCCACGAATCATCGCGTGATCATCAAACTTCAGATTTACATGTTTTGTTTTCACTTTCAAATCAGCAACCTAAGAAAGATATAATTCCAAAATCTGATAAAGAATATGCATAGAAAGAAAGAAAAAAATAGATTAAATAATTATGTGGCAATTACTTTTGGACTGTGGACAGGAGAAGTAGCGGTATCTTCCAAGGAATCATCTTGAAAAATCTTCTGGGTTCTTGTTAATTTCTTGAAACAAATTAGCTTCTTAGGAGAATCCAAAAAAACTTCCCCAACAGAACACAACGTTGGACTTAAAACATTGGTCGTCGTATTGCCATCGTCTGAACAGCTCCCAATACTCGAACACAAAAAACTCTTCTCTCTCTCAATATCTGAGGAGCTGAAATAATCTTCCAAGTAATCCGTCCAACCGCTCTCTTCTTCTTCTCCTCCTCCTCCGCCGGAATTGGCGGCGGCGGCGGAGGGCTCTTCCAGCGGCGGCGCATCCTTGTTCTTCTCCATCGAAAGAAAAGGATTGGAGAGAGTTTATTTTGAGAGAGGGGCTTAAGAAACGAGAGAGTTTATTATTATTATTATTTATTTATCATTATTGGTGTGGTGAAAATGGAGGAAAAAAGGTCGTCCATGATGTTGAATTGGTGCTGTGGGCCACCAGAAGTTGGGGAAGTTAAAACCAACTGTTCCAACAGAAATTAAAAAAACCAACAAAAAAAAAAAGACGACTTTGGAGAGAGAGAACGTGCAAGAGACATAAATTAAATGATAGGGCGGAGGGGTTGACCTTTGTGGTATTAGATGACATATAAATATACAAATATAATATAGTTTTTTTAAAAAAATTAGTTTGTAATTGTAACAACACTCCGACATTATTTTCATGGAACATAATTCGATTCCCTTCCCATGACCAAATAGGAATCTTGGAAAATAAACTTCGACTGCTTCCGCGCAAATTCTGCCGACGGAGTTCTTTCGAAAGTTGTTGTTTCTGGTGTATTCAAAAAAAAAAAAAAAAAATTGTTGTTTCTGGGCCTTGAAATTTCGGCCCAATTTTAAAGGTGGGCCTTATTATTGGGCTTCTACATGTTTTAGTTGGGCTCGATAGTACGACCGATGTTAAAGTGAACAGAAACGACGTGTCGTTAGGATGTAGATCGGGTGTGAAAGTTGCACCAATTATTCAAAGTTTATTTTGAGAACAGTATTTGGGTACCACTTACCAGTCGACAAGATTGAAAATTAAACTTTTCTTTTTAGGAAAAAAAAAAACTGATCAACTCTTTTTTATTTCTCTTTCTTGTTAAAAATTTAATATATTAATAAGAGATTGGAAGTAAATAATTTTTTTTTCAATTTTCTTTTATAAGGATTGGAAGTAAGTAGTTAGTATCTAACTATTGTTCTTTATCAGAGTCTCTTTAAATTCTGGACATATGATAGCATGTATAGTGTATGTATATTGTATTTATATAAGTGATAAAAGGTCATTGTCATGTCGGTATGTGGATCAATTGCTACGTACAAACAAGTAATTTTTTAATAAAGAATTTAGGACGTCAAAAAGTGAACATAATTCAACAATAATCAGTATATATCTCAAATTAAGAGATTGTGAGTTCGATCTTCCAACCTACATGTTGTACTTAAAAAAAAATATATAGAAAATTTAGGATAAAAGTTTCCACAAAGTGCCTAAAACTACCAAGCTTTTAATTACTTTAAAGTTACTTTTTAGTTGTGAAYATTAGCCTAACCTATAGGTAATTGAAATGTACCATTTCCTTCCTCGAAGGTTTGATCTCCCATATCACCAAATTATTGTTGTTTAAAACTAAAAAGTCACTCTTTGGTTAATCATCTCTCAATTGTTATTTTGGTTGATAAACCTTTTTGTCTCGTTTCTAAATTTTTGTGACTCTATAACTTTATTTATTTTTAATTTGGTTTATTCTCTCTAGTTTCTTTATCAAATATTTTTTGTTTTTCTCCCTACAAATTTTGTTAAATTATCTCTCTAAAAAGTCACTCTTCAAATTTTGTTAAAATAATTATACAAAAATCACTCTTACGAAATCAATTATCATACAAAGATTTTGTTAAAGGAATACTTGTCAATTATTATATTAAGCTGTACTTAATTATGTTTAATTATGTTGACTCTGATAATAGAAAGCCTCACTATGAGTACTGCAACACTTTCTATTAAAAAGTGTGGCTTGCTTAATAAATACCAATAGAATCCTAAAATCAACTACTATAAGTATTATTAATCTCTTGTCCGCCATTATTCTATGTACGAGACCATGAGCTGAATTATTGTTTCTTTTTTCTTTTTAATTTTAGTAGTTGATCATCTGCTAAAGGATAACAGGCTAGTGAATGCCAATAATAATGTATGGTTTTAATTCCAACCACACTACATATAATATGCATCATCCAGGTTTTGCTTATCCCAATTCCTAACATCATTAAATAACATAATGTTCATATATCATTATGGGAACTGCGAATGAAAGTCAACTTCAAACTTAATATATGCATTTGAAAATATATTATACATAAATAAAAATTAGAGGTGGATACATATAATTCAACTTCATTTAATAATGGTAAACTAAAAAAGCAAGTTGCTTAATGTTATAGCCACTAGGGTGTGGGCTTCCCCATCCCATCTAATAATGAACACATTTAAATTCAGCATTGAAAAAACAAAAACATAACACGACGTTATGAACCTGAATTCCTCCGAACCATATGCCATAAACTTGATGTAATGGACAAAGTCAATACCCGAACCCCCTAAAATTAATCCTCACCCAATTTACTTGAAAATCCAAAGGATATTCATTCTTCTTCTTCTTCACGAGGTGCGTTCTTGACTTCTTCCACTCAGCTTTCTCTTCAAGTACTGCAAATTCATTCCCAAGTAAACAAGATCAATTCCTAATGAATTGCATCATGATCTGTTATAATTTATTTGAAAGAATAATTATATAGTTTTTACATTTAAAAAAAGTAGACTAAAATTGATTGGTTTTTGCAGAATTAATTAATTTAACTTTTGAGCTCTCTCTAAACTTTTGACTTGAACTAAGTCCAAAACTTTCGATTGTTCTCCAAATAAGTACATGAATGGTAGAAAATATCAAATGAGTCTAGACCGAAGAAGGACTAAAACTCCTAATTGGAAAGCATGAAGCAAATAATTTAATTAAAGACGTGAGAGTGTATTTGAAAGTAATTTTGACACGACAAAATTACTTTTACTATTGCCAAACACTCAAAATCATGCGTTCTATCGCSCCTCCAAAACACACCCTAAGACTCTTAATTGGGAAGTGTGAAACAAATATTTTAATTAAATTTATTTGAAACCCTTCACAAACTAAAGAATAAAAGGAATTTTAAATCATTTCCAATATTTGACATCAGTAAATTTAAAGCGGTAAAAGAGAGAGAGATTTGACTTACGAGGTAAGAAGTTGAGGGAGATGGGATTGTCAGTGATTGTCGCACGATAAAGAGGCTTTAATCCTCTCAACAGTGCAGGCAATGAGGTTGTTAACCGTTGCAACCGAACCCAGAGAAAGTTTAGCCGTGGGAACCGAGTCAACCAAGATCTGAAACGCAACCGTCAAAAGCGAGCCGCTGCCGCCGGACCCAGGTTCGCCGGCCGCGGCGGTTCCGTCAGGAAGGATGGCAAATCCGGAGGGGAGGAGGGCCACGTAGTCCGGATCTCCGCCGTTCAGCACCACGTTGATTGCCACTATGTCCACCGGCGCGTAGATCACAAACGAAGCCGTTTCATCCGTGCTGCTCTCTTGTAATATCAGCATGTTGCTCTGGCTTGAATTTGCACTCTAAACAAAATAAATCAACATTAATTAATTAATTAATTAATTCATATATATTTTTAGAATATGGTAATGGCAAGAAACTTAATTACATTTACTCTGAGCAAGGAGACGCAGTTGCCAGTGTCACGGCCATTGGCAATGTGGGCCATTTCTTGCACTACTCCACCGTTCGAAAGAATATCCCACTGTAACACAACATAACATAACATAACATAACATAACATAACAGGTTAAATTCCTGTTTAATTACCATATGTTTAAAAATGGTTTAAGAGATTAGATTCGATTTACCATAAAACACTAAAAAGCACTTCTGTTTCTCAGAAAGTGTTCCATTAAATAAAATTTTCTGAAAAGTAATCTTAAATACACAATAAAAAATTTGATTTGATACTGGTAAAAGTGAGTTAGATTTACTATTAAATTCAATCCCTAACTTTGACCATTAATTTCCAATGAATAAGATTTATTCTATTTTCTTTTGTATTTTTCAATCGTTACTTTTTAATGGTGGCTGACTGAAGAGCACCTAAATTCTATCATATATGAATATATACCTCATTTCGGGAATTTTCATCTCGAAGGAAATGGAAGACTCTATTGGGAGGAATCGGGAGCCAGAAGGAAGTGGCAGCGCTGAGAACAATGCCAGGGGGTCTGCCGGGATCGTCCACGCTCTTCCTTGTCATAACCCTGACGTCATCAGCCCCGGTCCCGGAGAGTGTGGTCCAGGTGTGTGTGGTCGACGCGCTCACTCCTCCGCAGAAGCTCATCACCATTCTCTCCGCCAGCTTCAACATGCTCTTCCTCCCTTCTTGATTCGTTATCACTGAAACATTTATGTATACCATTATAGATGAAACCACTCCCAACATACTCCATACTCATTATCTTATTATTGGTAACGATCAATCTTGTCATCACCATTATTAAATTAAATATTTATAGAGAGAAATGCAAAAACATATACCTTTTTATAAATAAATAATGAATCGTCAAATTTTTAACAGTGCTGAGGACAACATTCGATTAATTTTCGTTAAATTTTTATCTCCTTTCAATCTTCTTACCTTCTTTAGTAGTCCAATTACCATGATAATTAAAAAATCTACTCAATAGAAAGTACTCGTAGAAAAGAAAAAATAAAGTAAGAAATAGTTAATAATTACCACCAGCATCGCCGTTGGGAATACTCGTGGCCATGGCACTGGCGAGGCGTTCGCACTGGCGATCCAATGTGGCAATCCAACGCTTGGCACCGAACGCGTGGCCGGAGCTAACAAGCTGATTGTACAAAGTATGGACACCTCGATCGTCCACCTCAACGTGCTCAACCCACGTAACCTAGTAAAACAATTAACCAAACCAACTTATTAATACATAATTACAACACATTAGAAATGAAAAGGAAAAAAAAAAGAAAAAGAAAAGGTTGGATTATTACCTTAGAATAGCCATTTGGCATTTCTTGGATTAAGCAGCCGGAGGGGCGCCTTCTGCATCTGAGGGCGGGGGCTGGGCGTAAGTTGTCCAACGACACGTCGACCACAGCCCAATTTCCCTCCCCATGCTGTTTACAGTACCTTACGAAATAGCTCTCCCGAGTTGGAACCAGCGGCGAAGGAACTTGCAATTCCGATGTCATCTGAAAACCATATGTTATATTTATTCATTCATTTTATACACTTAATTATCTCTAATTCAAAAACCCATCAAATTTATAAACATATATTCCGAAATACTTTACCACTTGTAATGCTCCGTTGTAGTTTCCAGCAACTCCGGTTGATAATACTTCTAATGTCACGCCTCTAGACACAATTCCACTGAATACGCTTGACCACTGATTCTGAACAAACGCAAAACAAAGCCAAGAATTAATGAATGAATAATTTCAGCTTTTGAATTTAGTACCAAACATAAATAAAATCACTGCCAAGTACTTATAATATAAATGAATTACTCCTACTCCTATTTTTAATTGGTTTTGATTGGTTTTGAGATGAAATCCATGAATATTAATATGATAATAGAGCCTAGAAGCTCAACATCCAGTCCAAAATGAAATTCGACCAAGATCGATAATCTCAAAAGAGGCACCATCGTTTTCAGGGGCGTGTAAGGATCACCTATTGAAAAGTTAAAGGACTTAACCAAAATTTGTAATATAAATGAGTTATTTCTCTCGTTGTCAATTAATTTTGATATATTAATAAAATTTCAGATTTACAAAAAAGAGAATAAGACTTACGACATCCATGAGCATCTCAACAAGGTTAATATGGTTCATGATGACAACAGCAGAAGCCCGAGAAGCTTCACAGGTAAACCCAGATGGTTTAGGTCCAATGCCTCTGGGAAACGTTCTAATATATTCATCTTCATTCAGCACTGCGGTTGAGCCATCCAGCCCTGTGATCCACAACGGCTCGCCCATTTGAGCCATCCTCACCAGTTCCTCCATGGCCGCCACTGCAAGCTCGATGATAATGGGCTTATCAGCATCCGACGGCGCACTTATGGACCGTAGAAGGTCCGCTGCCCCGTACATTTCGCCACCACCTCCTCCGATCCCTGAATCATGTCCTCCATAGCTTCCCATTCCGAGGTCTAGAGGACGTGAAGGGATGGATGGGGAAAGGAGAGTAGGGTAGTTCGATACTGGCTTCCCTACATATTTTGCTGCTATGGCTGAAATGCGATCGATCTGATCCAAATTTGAGAAGCTAACATTTAGACAAATATCTCAGGATTCTCTAACTTTAGTTTAAATCACTTATGTAGTTTCATTTTCCATTTAAATATTGATAATACTTATTACACTTTGTCCAAATTTTCAAGTCCGGAAAAGAAAATTAAGATAGAAATTTATTGTAACTCATCAAATTGGATGATTTAAGATTATGTATGCTTCAGTTTCTTTCTTGTTTCCATCTTTTTAAAAATGTTTACAAAATTGAATCAAATATTAGAAAAATTGTTAAGGACTACTTATTGTACTCCGAGTATCTTCTCAATGATTTGATTAAATTTAACATTTTGCTTTTGATTTCACTAGATAATTATTCAATCTAGCAAATAAAAAACTTGCTCTCTAATTCTAAAGTGGACGTTGACAAAAATGGTCGAACCACAGTAATCATTGTTTTCTTCTTGCTTCTTCAAAACTCCTCTTTTGCTTTAGCTCTGTTTTGTTTGTTGTGTGTTGTTGATTGTTCAATTCTCAATAAAAACAAATTCTAGATTTCTTTTGTTCTCGTGTCCAATATGAACAAAAAGATGTTTTTACCTAAAAAGCACATTATAAATAATTAAAAGAAAAGGTAAATCTACCATAAAAAGGGATATACCACATACCAGGAAAATAAAAATAACTAATTAATTTAAAATCACTAACTAATTATTTTTCTTCCTCGACGGGAAATAGGAAAAAAAAAAAGAGAAACAAGCACTAAAAACCGTGAAATAGAAGAGCCCTAGATTTGTATTTACCTCTTCTCTCAAGCGAGAATTTTCGAGTCTGAGATGATGTTCATCAAAGGACATCTCTCCAATGGCGGTCGGGCCTCCACAATTAGGACACGTGGCATTACTAAGAGCTTCTCTATACCTCATATTATCAGCCCGAAGCTTCTCATTTTCTGTTCTCAGTTGGGTGTTTTCGTGTCTCTCATGATGGGTCTGAAAATAAATTAAAATTGATTAATAATTTAACATGATAATTGCATAATCTATAAGTTTAAGCTTTTAAATGCTTCGGTAATTGACCTTCATCTGAGTTCGCTTGTTTTGGAACCAAAACTTGACTTGCAATGGCTCCAAACCCAACTCCCTACTCAGCTCCTTCCTTTGCTTGTCATCAGGGTGAGGACATTCCTTGAAGAACCTTTAAAACCCCAAAATAATAATAATAATAATTTCACTAAAAGTTTGTTTAACAATATATATATATAAAAAATAATTATGGGCTTACGCTTCCATTTGTTGGATCTGGTGCTGAGTGTGGCGGTGGTAACGCTTCTTCTTGGGGCGGTTGTGGTCTTGGTCGTCCCCAGAAGCAGCCTCGTGATTCTCGCTGCTCGATTTTGTTACACTGTCGAAATCTTCCGCTTCTCTCATTCGCCCAAAATCGCTTTCCCCCAACGCGTTTCCTCCCATATCCAGCCCCTGCAGCTGCCCCCCTTCCATCATATTTCCCTGCAATTTTTTTTTTTTTAAAAAAAACCACTACGTTGAACTATCGAGAAACATTAAAAAAAAAAAAGACCTATGTAAGCGCTCYAGTTTAAAGAAATTGTAAGTACATCATAATCACACAAGAGGGGGAATTTTGTTGACCAAAGAGATGCAGAAATTCTGATATCCTCCCAAGAGGGCCGACGGAGATTTTGTGGAATTTGTGAAAGTTGAAATTGAAGCAAAATGCTTCTCCTTAAATTCTTTCTCGTACTAAGAAATAGCTTTGTAAGAATGGGATAATTGGGTCTACTATTTTGAAATAGAATAGAATAATGGATTATTTTATTTTGAAAGATTAGGGAATGATGTGTTGGGTTAATTGGTGAACAAGACATTAACCCAAGAGAAAATTTCTGCTGCCTTCTGTAACTGTACTTTGAAGAATTAAGCACAATTCGTTGTGTGTCATTAATTAAGTATCGTTTATGGGGAGAATTAAAAGAAAATTTTCACTGAAAAAATTGATGAACCAGTTATCGAAGTAGCTGGAAAATTAAAAGCCTGACCTGACCAAGAACTAGACTCGCCGGAGAGCCGAAAACGCCGACATTATTCCCATTCCTTCCGATCATCGACGGCGCGTTTCTGGCTGGAATCATCATTCCGGCTGGCATTTTCTCCCCCAAAAAAAAATGCTACCTTTTTCTTTTTTTCGATAAGGACACGTTACGCTGAGTTTAAGGGAGACTGCATTTTTTGGGGGGTTTCAATTTCAACTACTTCTTCAAGATTCCTCCGCAGTAGACTTTTTGACAGATAATTCGCTTTCTTCTTGAAACCGAAACCTGCTTTTTCTTACGTGAAAAGATAAAGAGGAATCTTTCAGGGGAAAAAAACCCAGATCCGAAATTAAAAAAAAAAAAGAAAAGAAAAGGCAGGGAAATTGAAGAAATTAAATTGCAGTGAAGAAGAAGAAGAAGAAGAAGAAGAAGAAGGGTTTTGGAGTGTTGATTTTGGTGGGTGTGGAGAGGAAAAAAGTGGGAGAGGGGAGTAATTGCAGAGCGTATTGAGAGGGTGGGATTGCATTTAATGGCGGCTCAAACAGGCGTAATTGCTACACACACACAGAAAGAAAAAAAAAAGAAAAAAAAAGAGTATTTTTTTTATATAATTTCTTGGTGTTTATTATGCCCTAGGAGTAGGAGAGCTTTAGTGCAATGAATGACGCCTACCGAACAACGCTCTACTAATTTCTTTTTCTTTTTTCTTTTTTTTCTCCTTTGATGGATATTACTGTTGTTGTTTGGAAACTTTTTATATTCTGAGAAGAATTCTACTTTCTACCATTTATTGTGACAAACCTCTCGCAGCTTCCTATCTAAACCCTCCCCAACCATATTATATCTTATTCTCATGGAAAACCCTCATCTTTAGGTGTAGATTCTTTTGTCTTTCTTTTTTAATCAACGGATTATTCTTCATCCCGAGAGCTTTGATTCAGGAGGGAGGACGAGAATTAAAAATTTTCGGGACGGAAATTTTAGGGTACTATGGATAACTCATATTGTAGGACGACGTGAATGTGACCTTCCACGTGACGGGAGAAGAGAGGTTGTGCAAGGTCTACAATGAGTAATTTAATTATCCAAGACACTTAGTTTGAGAGGATTCGATACTACTTTAGAACCTCGCTAAGGCCTCGAACTCAACCAAGGTCGGATTGAGATTGTGCCTAGATTCCCACGCAGTGTCTGATAACCACTCATTGGTACTACATTTARACATATATTCTAAATAAAATACATGAATGTTCTCTATTTGCAGTTACCGGTTACGGGAATTTGATTACTTGTCTTGAGAATATCTCAAATTCTATTGACTTGAGCGGTTTATTTTCTTGCACCAATTCTATTTGTCCTTTTAGAATCCTATCTCTTTGAATCAATTTTTGCACATAAACTCATATTATTCTAATTTATTCTTAACTAACCATATTATTTAAGAATGACTGATGTCCAACAATATATTTAAGAATTATTTATCAAGATTTTTTTTTTTCAATGAATAGTGGGAATAGGTACTAAAAATTTTATTTTATCAGAATACATGCATTTCTGGCCCTGCCCTAGTTACCGTATTTTTAGAAWCATCGCTACAATATTTTTCTTGTAATATTGATTGCATTAGAAAATTCATGCCTTTCTTTTTATTTTTTAAATGAAAATTCGTATCATTCTCTTTTATTTAAAGAGAAATTAATTGATTATATGCTTAGAGCATATGAACGTTTTATAGTTGAAATATTGTCAATTAAAATGACTACGATTAACTTATTATTGCAATGTTTATCAGTAATCCGTTTTAGGAAAAAGAAAATTACAGGAAAACTGCTCTCTCTCTCTCTCTGACAAATATGCGAGTTTAATTAACATTCCTTTTATTGCACAAGATACCATAAATTTTGGATGCTGCGTTTTCATCTGTTATTATTATTTTCTTTTATTTTCTTTTCATCATTAGATTTTAATGAATTGACCATTTTTATTTTCTTAGTGTTTGAGTCATAATAGCTAATTACATAATATATTTTTTTCAGGTGGTGTGTGGTAGAATTGCAGGTTTTATTCTTCAATAACTACACAGGTAATCTTATAAATCATTGCAATAAATGAAGGAGAGGAGACACTGCCAATCTTTAACAAGGTTTTGGGTATGAAACTGATGGAGATTTAATATCATCATTATCAAACTATATTTAATTGAAAGGGAATCATGCCCTGGAGAAATTGAAATATTAAAGCATCACCAGATCAGTTGTTACTTCTCTGATGCTGAAAGAAATTAAATTTTCTTTTGTTTCGTTTTGTGTTTCCTTAAAGTAACAACAATATAGTTATGACAAAGAAAAATACGATCCATGAAATAATTAGTACCCACTCCAACTGGAACATGACTTTAACTGATTAAGGCACTTATCGATATCTGATCAAAAGGTCAGAGTTCGAATACTAAAAAATAATAATTATTATTATTAGTACTCATAAAAATTTATTACAATGTTGGAAAACAAAATTAAAAGCTTGTTAAATGAGGCCGACCTGTTAACTTTTAAATATCAGTGTCCCTTTTTTAATATCATCTCGTAATATTGTATAAGATATTTTTTAAAAAATTAACACGAACAAAAAATTAACAAGAACGAAGTTTATAGGAACACTTTTTATTAGACGAAAATTGAGTCTAAGAACCGATGCATCGTCGAAAAGAACAAATTGTCATTTCCTTAATTTAAGAGGGAAATTAAATCAACAATTAATATATTTTAAAAACTAATGATATACGATGATTAATAACGTTTTTTTTTTAAATGTAGATGCAACCCAAATTCAATAATATCTCGACAAGAATTAGTTGAAAAAGTTTAGGTCCAAATAATTTTATATGTTGGTTTTAAGTTGCTATAAATGTGTATATATTCCATATTCAATAAAAAAATTTTATTTTCTCAAAAAA